GCTGAGTGCTGCTGTGCCCCTGGCACTGCTCTCCTCTGCTTCTCAGGGCTCCCAGGAGCTGCATGAGGGCAAAGCCCGCCAGAAGCCAACTCTGCTAACCTGGTACTGCAGGCGGAGATGTTTGAATTCTCCCATCTGGGAAAACAATCTAACCAAAAACATCATATTAATGCAGCCCTAATGTATATCAGATATACTACAACATTTATTTATACCATGCATTGTATTACACTCCCATGTAAGTCCATATTCAATCATTTGCTACAAAGCTGGGAGTTTTTTAAATCACCAAGAGTGTGCCTAAAATGAACTGCTGCTGAGTTAGCCAGCAAGCCAACCCAGCAACCCCAGCCAGACTGCTTTCTGGGTCTCCTTCCAGCAGTGCATGCACAAGTGAAGGATTTAAGCTCAGGGCAGAAGAGCCAGAGATAAACAAATAGGCTGCATAGATGCTATTTATTGCAGTGGTGATGAAGCAGCATTAGGGCTCTCCCACTCAGAGACTCTCCAGACATTTTCAGTCCCCAGAGGTTCCTCCAGCAGCAGCAGTGATGAGTGTGCCTGGCCCTCCCTGACAGCGCATCAGACTTGTGGTGGGAATTGCTGACGCTGGGATCCAATTCAGGTTATTGCTCATGAACCGTGCACCCAATATTCCATAAACCATAGGAGCATCAAGGCTGGAAAAGCCCTTTAGGATCCCCAACCCCACCCACCCCATATGCCCACTGCCCACATCTCTCACTGCCATGTCCCCACAGCTCTGGGACACCCCCAGGGATGGTGACCCCCCACTCCCTGGGCAGCTGTGCCACTGCCTGACTGCTCTTTGGAGAAGAAGTTGTTCCTAATAGCCACCCCGAAAGCATACCACCATGCCACTGCTCCTCAGCCAACTGGGATGGAGAATCAGTTTTATTATGCAGTTAAGCTTCAAATAAAGTCTGGATTTGACTGTGAGAAAGATCTCCCTTTGTCATATAGGCTTTAATCTGTAGATGAAGCCCTTCTGAGGGATGGTCGTCTCTCATTTATCACTGAATCTGTCCACACATTCATTTGCAGCTCTGACCAAATTGCCAACAGCTCTGGGAGAACAGCAAAGGACCCCTGTGGCAGCAGAGAGCACTCCTCTGCTCTGCTCTTGTGCATCACACAGAGGGATCACGAGGAGAAGGGGGGAAACACACAACGAAGGACAGGAAAATAAATCCCTGCACCAAAAAGTTTTGTAAGGAAGGGGACGGGCTGAGCTCTCCTGCCAGGATCCAATACAGCCCACATTGCCCAGTTCTTTGCTATGAGAGTGGTGAGGTGCTGGAACAGCTGCCCAGAGAGGCTGTGATGCCCCGTCCATCCCTGGAGGTGTTCAAGGCCAGGTTGGATGGGGCCCTGGGCAGCCTGGGCTGCTGTGAAATGGGGAGGTTGGTGGCCCTGCATGTGGAGGGGGGTTGGAGCTTCACCATCCTTGAGGTCCCTTCCAACCCAACCATTCTGTGATTCTGTGATTCTGTCAGCATTCGCTCCTCATTGCTGCTTCTGGTTTGCTTCTGTCACCCACAAACACATTCTGTTCTTTACAGATGAATATACAGGTGCTGCTCCACTTGTGGCTTTTCAGCTCCTTCTTGTTTAGATTCTGCTGATGGAATTCCATTAGGATTAACAGCAAATTTTATAAAAAGAATTAAATTTTAGGGCCTTTACAATGGAGATAAAATTAAAAGACACAGACGTAGCTTTCCTTATGCCAAGGACTGCAGCCAAGCCTGATTACAAACTTTCTGAACAATAAATCTCCATTCTTTCCTCCTGGTATTCACAGCAACAGGCAGTGAGTGAGAAACTCTGCTTCTGAGTCTCCTAATTGGGCAGCACAACTCGCCCCTCTGATTGCTCTCAGTAGGACTGAGCAGCCCTGCAAACATCCATTGCACCATTTTGATGGCCCAGAGTCTTTTAATCAAGCCTCACAGTTTGCAAGGGCTGCAGTGTTAGCAGGCTGTTACAAATAGCTCATTGTAAGACAAAACGGGGAGCTTCTGAGATATTTATTTTAAGACCTAATGAAGTTAACAGCACTGCAGTAACAGAGGCTGCTCCTGTCCCTTCCTTTATGACTGCTCCAAGTCTGGAATCAATTCCATTAAGATCCAGAGAAAGTTGCTCAGGTTCCCGAGTTCTTTGCAAATGCCAATACCGGTTTTATAGCTTGCAATCTCAAATGCTGGAGCAAAAAAAAAAAGCTGATTTACTGCAGCACAAGAAGAACAAAGATCTGTAAATCAGCCCAAGGCACTGCAGCTCCCAGCAGCCCTCATTGGAAGGACAGATCCCAGTTGATACAAAAACTTTTGACTCAGTGCAGGGTGGAGCAGCCTGGATGTGGACATGCTGGGTCCTTGGCCGCTGGGTAAGGGCTGTCCCATGCACCAGGAGCCCCAAGGATCTGCTTGCACCAGCCCCAGAAATCATCTGTTCCATTGTGGTGTGAGATATTGGAGCAACAGGGTGGCTTTCAGGCAGGTCATGGCACTGTAAACTGTAGGATATGCTCTATTTAAAAACATACACATCACACACAAATATAATACACTGTATTTAAAGGAATATCATCCTTGCATTAAGCTACTGGCTTAATATGTTTCCTATGCAGCTTATGCTTTTTGAAATAGACCAGTGCCTTATCTCTTAGGCACACAAAGTGCATTGGGGTGCACACCTTATGAAACTGCAGGGGAAATGACCCTGAGCAAATGCCACCAAACACAAAAGATGAGCATCCCAGTAAAAAACACACATCAGGGAGATAATGCATTCCAAAAGATACAGCATGAATGTTAATCCAGCAAAAATGAAAGACAGAATAGGAAGCATTACCAAAAAGGTGGCGGCTATCCTCTGTTAATCCCCCCTGCGTGTGGTAAATGGTCTGATTGTCTCCCAAATCAAACTAATTGCAACAGGAAAATTGTTGCCATGGATGCCACCGAGGTGTACTGATCACTGCCTGCATTTCTCAGTCCGTTTCGATGATCTTTGTGCAATATGGATGGAAGCACAAGCAGAACTCAGATTAAAAACAAGCACTTGGATGACAGAGGAGGCAAAATCACTTTGCAAATGTAGAAGGAAGTCATCTTTCTACAGGGGGGACTTTTTTAACCAGGACGCCCTGCTTGCAAGCAGCACTATGGCACTGCTGTCTATTTTCTGGCTTCAACAGAGAAGCAGGGCTGGTCAGCATGTAAGTAAACTCTTCAGAGACAGCAGTGCTATGAAGTGTCAACCCAATGTGTTTTCTTTGCATAAAGCCATGGGACACAGCTAGTGGCACAGTGGGGAAGGGTTGGGGTAGGACTTGATGACCTCAGAGGTCTTTTCCAGCCTTAACAGTTCTACAACTCTGCTTTTCCTTTGGTTCACTTGGTTCAAATTTCTTTGGCCTTCCATCTCCTTTCCCACCAAGGAAAGCAGCAGCACAGCCTCGACGATGCAAACCAAAGCTTGGTCCAAATAGTTCCAGCATGTGTGTGCATGTGAGTAAGTCACTGCTTAGGATATTATAGCAGAGTTTTTGTAGGTCATGGTTTGCAGTGACAGACGTTTCGCATACAGCAACTGCTTTAAATTGCTCCATAGAGTGAAATTTAATCCAAATCTGTGAATTATTGAGAAAAGCTAAAAATAAACTATGAAAATCCCCAGTGAATGTTAGGCACACTTGGCCAAGCACAGACAACAATTCCACACACTGTGTAATGCAGAAACAGTGAATCATCTGCAAACACTGAAACCATTTCAAACTTGTCCAAGAGGAGGAGATGGCGTGGAACGGTCATGGCTGAAAGAGCACACTTCCATCCATAGCTGAGCTACAAAATAAAGAGAAAGAAAAAAGGTACAGCACTGTGTGAGCACGATGCTGCTACTCCTCCACTCTTTCAGCTCCGTGGTCTCAGAGCTCCCTCAGCCCTGCACCCCCATGAGCTGGGCAGACACATCCAAGCTACAGCAGGAAGCTTACTGTACTCAGAAGGGTGTAACACTCTGTAAGGTATGGTTCTACAGTACCAAAGGCAGCTACAGACTGTTTAACATCCCCAGGGCTGTGCTGTAAGAGACCCAAGTGCTCTGCAGTGCATTTCAAGACATGAAGGCAGGAAAAAAAACAACAACAAAAACTAATTGAAAGGGTAGATAAAAGCAGGAAAAGGGAAATGGTTTTAACTTGAGGGAGGGAAGATTTGGGTTGAGTATCAGGGGGAAGTTCTTTGCTATGAGAGCAATGAGGTGCTGGAACTGCTGCCCAGAGAGGCTGTGATGCCCCGTCCATCCCTGGAGGTGTTCAAGGCCAGGTTGGATGGGGCCCTGGGCAGCCTGGGCTGCTATGAAATGGGGAGGTTGGTGGCCCTGCATGTGGAGGAGGGGTTGGAGATTCATCATCCTTGAGGTCCCTTCCAACCCAACCATTCTGTAGAAACACTGGGGAAGTTTGTGTGCATAGTGGGGAGAGAGCACTGCCCTCCTCCTGCGGTGGTCCCACCACACAGTGCTGCAGTCACTGTCCCACCTGCCAGCAGCTGACTGTGCAACGCATCCATCAAAGGATTCCTTCTTAGAAGATGTGAACAAAAGCATCCACCATCACAGCAGGGATTTTGTGACTGGCAGCTCAAATTAGAAGGTATAAAGGTACATTTTTATGAATACATGCAAAGTCTGTGAAAGCTCACATCACATTTTGTGCTTCTATCCAGAGCAGTCAGACGTGTTCTGTCCTGTTCTTTCCCAGCTGCAGAGGTCACAGGTGGGACAACAAACTGCTGCTCCTGATTCAGGGCTCTTAACTCTCATTAATTTGAAATATTTGATGTAAAAATACATTTTACAGCCTGCTTCATTTATTTCAAAAGGCGTTTCTATTAAAATACATGTTGACGAGTATAGCCAGCATATGATGCACTGAGTGGTAGCATTCTGTAGGGTTCTTTTCACAGAATCACAGAATGGTTGGGTTGGAAGGGACCTCAAGGATCATGAATCTCCAACCCCCCTCCACACGCAGGGCCACCAACCTCCCCATTTCACAGCAGCCCAGGCTGCCCAGGGCCCCATCCAACCTGGCCTTGAACACCTCCAGGGATGGACGGGGCATCACAGCCTCTCTGGGCAGCTGTTCCAGCACCTCACCGCTCCCCTGGTAACTTTCCCTGAGTTTTCACACTCTTACAGCCACACTCCACACCCAGAGCTTTTATCAAAGCAAAAGCCCAACTTGGCTTAAGGAACAGCAGGGTTGTTAACAAACTCCATCAGCAGGTTCCATGCGCGCTCTCCAGAAAGAGCTGGAGCTGGGCTGACCCAGCACCTGCATCAGACACTGCAGAACACGGGAAGCATGTCCTGCAGAAGGGAATCAGGGCTCTAACACAGCCAAATTCATTCACATACGTTCACTCAGGCTCCTTCCTTGGTCTCCAGCAGACAGTACTGTTGCACCCACTAAGAGCACAGCCTTGCACTGATGGGCTCCAGAGATTTCTTGGGTGGTGACACGGAACAGAATGGAGGAGAAACAGGCAGCAAATGTCATCATCTCATAAGCCTCGTTTTATCAGAAACAAAGCTAAGCCAGCCATCATTTACAGGCTTTGCAGGATTAGGAGCTCAGAAATCAGGGGGATTCCTCCAGCTTGCCATGATTTACTGGCACAGCACTGGGGTCACTGGCCCAGGGCAAAAAGAGATGCTTTTGGAGCAAGCCCTTCAGATAGCTGTTTTATGGCATCCACAGCAGCAGCCAAAGAGGAAAAACACAGAAAACACTTTTACCCAAACAATAAAACATTTTCAGGTTTCTGCAACAATCCTAAATTTAAACTCCTCGGTGGCAGATGCCAGTGGTTCCACTGGTGCTACTGTTCAGCATAATAGAATGCAAATTTAAACTCAAATTTGACCAAAAAAGCACAAAAGAGGAGAACCTTGCATCAAAACCTGATCACACATTGACAAGAACAAGCATCAATTAAGCATTCCCTCCACTGTCTTCCAGGCAGCTGTATGATCTGTATGGAAGCAGACAATCTGCAATCATCTCAGCTTTCTGACTTGGTGACTGTGTTGCCAAAAGCCATTAGCAGCAATCTTTGTGTAACATGGTCAGAATCCAATGCTCCATACATCGCACACTGCAGCTTCAGTCAAATATGAGATGTTTATTTATAAGACATTATCTTCAGGGTCCTGCAGCGTCCTGCCACTCTGCTCTCCTCCCAGGTTGTGATGGTGACAATGGATTTAATCTGCAATCAGTGCTGTTTGTGCCCACTGGGACACAGGCAGACTGAGCAATGTCTTCACATGGATGCTGCAACCAAGAGCTCTTTGCTGTGTGATGCTGTGAGGACTTTCAGCTGGGAAAACTTTTAGCACTTTAAGCAGCACACTGGTGCAAAAGTAGGAGCCCTAAAAGCACAGTGCCCTTAAGAGCAAAAAGCCCATCTGTGACTCCATGAGTGCCTGAGCCCACTAATCATGGGCAGATCACTGCCACAGCTGCTGCCCACTTTGCTCTGATCCAAAACAGCTGTTTTAATGCTCTAAAGCACCAGGGAAAAAGTTCATTGCCACATTTCTGTGCACTAGCAACAAAACAGCTCAATCCCCAACGCCATGTCTTGTCCTCGTGCCATACTGGAACTTTTGTATCTGACACCTCTGAGCTTGCTTATAAGCATTAAATAAAGCATTACATTCCAAAAATTCTTCAAGGTCTCTCCTGTAATTGTGGTTAACCCCATAAGCTTAAGAAAATGCTCAACTCAATCAAGCAAAAACTTCACGGTGCTACAGGCCATCTATAAAAAAGGCCTCTGTAGGAAGGGGTAGGAGCAGTAAAAGTTTATGTTGAAGTCAAATGTGACACCCCTGAATAGCCAGACATTTAAGTGGAATATAAATGTGGCAGGAGGACCAGGCAGCCTTCCAACAGAACCAGAACAGAGCTCACTGGAGAGGAACACCAGGACACCCACCAGAGCAAGGCCAACTCACTGCTAGGTAATATTTCACTACAGGGAAACTGGTTCTCCAACCTTACATCTTCAATACAGCCACTTGAACTGGTGTAGAAGTCTGCAACCAACGGCTTTGTTTACTGCCACGGTAACAACACCATCCTGGGAGGGAAATGAAACAAAAATAAGACAGCTTCTTTTTAGGCAACAGCATGATGAGTGGTAGAACCTACTTTCCATGACCCATTAGACCAAAAATGCCATCTTACATCAGTGGCACTGGTCTGCTTGCTATCCTGCTGCTCCTTACTCACTGCATCCCCTTTTATCCTGTGTGTAAAGGCTCCAGAAGTCCCTACAGCTGGCCGAGGGACTGGATGCTACCAAACAGATGTCATTACTCCCTTCGTTTTTCTCTTGAGGGATTTTTTTTCCCAACTTTAATCCTCTCTTATGACTTCAGGATTTGTTTTTTCAAGCAATAGCACAGAGTACATTTTTATTTCTAGCACTTGCTAGTAATGAAATACGGATTATTTGTCTTAAATCCATGAATTCATCAGCTATACAGCAGTTGGATCAAGCAACAAGCATTACTGATCTGTGTTTGATGGCATGATTCCTACAAAACAAAACAAGCACATGAAAACAATAGCGTAGGACACAGCAATATTCAGTGTAAAATCCCTTATTAGCTGTATCAAAATTGGTAACCAGGCACCAAAATGAACTTTAACAAGGACTAAAAGCACAACGGGTGGGAACACAAGCTCTGCAGGCACACCAGTTGTTCACTTTGCAGCAAGCTGCCCAAAGCAAACTGCATTATTTCTTGTACCCCTCCCCCCAAAAAAAAGAAAAAAAGAAAAATGAACTTGCCACAACACCAAGTTCAAACTGCATTTTTAATAAACCAAATCAATTTGGCCCTTGAATAAGTGCCAAAGCTCCAATAGAAAAAGAAGCTGTGCTGCACGTGCCATGCAGCAACCAGATTGCAGCAGAACAAAAACCCAAAATCACACAGAATGCCATTTTGCCCATTTTTTTCCTAATGCCCAGCAAGATTTCTTGAACTCAATCTATTAGAAACCAATAGCTCTAATCTATCCAGAAACCAAGGCTGTAGTTGCTAAGGCAACCTTGTTTTTCAGACCCATTTGCTCGTTGCTTGACATGACAGCAACCAAAATCATTTTTACCAGTGCACATAAAGCAGGATGGGATTTTTCTCCCCTCTGAAATTGAAAAAAAATATACATCTTTGAAGTGTTCTTTTTTTCCTTCTTCCCTTTAACAACTGCTCCTGGTTTATGAACCGAGTCCCAAGACTCAGCTGGAAGCAGCACTAACGCTGCCCTCAGCTGGGCAGACAGGAGCCCATTCCATGGACAAGGCCTCACCCTGCTGGCCATGGCTGATCAAGAGACAGGAGCAAGCCATTGCCTGCTTCACACACACACAGGCCAGAGAGGAAGGTGTGGTGAAAGACAAGTATGTACAAACATAAAACTAATGCAAAAGGTCCCAAAAAGGGAGGAAAAAAAGATTTAAAGACTCCAGACCTGGGATTCCTGTGCTAAACACTGCCACCGGCGCTGGGGAGGGGAGCTGCTGGGGGATGTAAGCAGGCAGCAGATGCAAGAAGGATCACGGCTTGCAGAGGTGAAAGCACCCAAAATTGGGGATGACATACCTGCACAAGAGGGGACATCTTTCCTATGTCCTTCTTCGGGAAGATATGCCAGAGAAATCAGGAATTAAACCAGCATTTTACCACAGTAAGTTTTATGGTTGCAGAAGGTAAAGTGCTGCTGGGCAGCACTAGAGGAAGCCAACACCTCTGCTCCCAGCCCAGAAGGGCAGCTCTTCCCTTTGCAAGAGGTAATCAGGCCTTGTTTGGACAAAAAGCAGCTTCAGGCTGAGCAGGATGCTTTAGCAACACCATTAACACCAGAAAGCAAACATAAGATTTATAAATTTAACTTCATCACAGGAGGGAAAAAAAATGATTAAGGCAAGGTCTTTTACTTTTTATGTGTTAGGACACAATGTGGGCTCTGCTGGAGTGCCTAGGATGTAAATTTAGGACCTTAACTTCAAGGTGTGAACTTTGTCAGATGGTAACTGGGGAGCTATTCCACAAGCAGCTCAGCACCTCCATCCTGCAGTGACAAACCAGCCTGGCGGGGGATGGAAAGAACAAAAGCAGTGCCTGCTCAGTTCCTGTGCTGTTACATGTGCTGAATCTCACATCATTTGTACCACATCTGGGGCACGTGAGAAGCAGCGTGCAAAGATGGCTGTCTTCCCCAGCATTGAAGAAGAACACATGATTAGCAAACGTATCACGGATACCAAGAAACCCCAAAAACTAACCTGAAGGCTTCCAGCCCCTATGGCCAACTGTACCACACTTCTCATCAACACAGCTGGCTTCCTGGGGGCCAGCTAACTGCTAATCAAGCTGCCAGGTTAATGCAATGTATCAGCATAATCAGCAAAAGATGTGCCCACACTCCACAGAGATTAAGAGCACCCTATCAGCTGCAGCATTAGTGGGTCAGTCAAATTAACCATTCAACTTTACAACAGATTTTTAAACAAGGGATTAAATAAATTCATGTCTAGGAGCACTCCTACCTCTGCTGCCTCCAGGACATTGTCTACAAACATCACCTGCATCTGCCTTCTAAATTTTGAGAGCAAGGTGGTAGTTCTTTATAGTGTTTCTGTAAGTGTTAGAAAACTATTCAAGGACAGTCAATGCTTCCTCAGCCCCCAGCAGAGCCTGCACACCTGCCCATGCACATGGACACTCCTTACCAGCAATATTTGCATCTTGATAGCTGCTCCGACCACATCTTCAAGAGATAGCAGTTATAAATAATTTTGAAGCCAAACTTCCAATGCTTTTCTGATACAGACCATCATATTTTATTCACCTCTAAACCATTCAGATGACACAGGTGAGGAGGATCAGCAACTTGTCCATCAAGACCCCAGGCTTCTCAGGTGAGGACGACGACTCCTCACAATGAACACCAGGTAACAGCTTTTCCCAAGCACTGTGCTGCCTGCAATTGGATTGGTGCCACATTGCATACTGTGTGCTCACCCTGTTTACATGGAAACCTGGCCAGGAAAGTATCAACTGAGGAGTTTGTGAGACAGAAAGTTAGATTCAGTCACAATGAAGATGGATGAAATATAGTCATTAAAGTACACAGTTTTGCACTGAAAAAAAACCAAACAATTTCAACTGTAATAATCTTAAGTCTTAAATAATACAGTAGGACACTTCAACCTGAAAGGATGTTAGCTTTAGGAAGTGATGAAGATACAGCAATTGCTTGGTATGACAGAAATCAAGGTTTAATATCCTGTCCACAAACTGCCTCTTCTTATCACACAGTGATTAAACTCACAGAATTTCAACATGACAGAAGTGCATACTAAGGCAAAATCACCATTACAAACCAACAGCTCAATCTGCCTGTGTTACTATTCATGCTTTTACATTTCCTCCTTTGGTGACAATAGAAGTTAACATCAATTTGAGCATATTCAATATACAGCATAGCAAAATGATAACTAAGACTCAATCAAAAAAGACAGGAAAGGTTAGAAGCCGAGGTACATGGTTCGGGTACCATCTGCATAATACTTCTGTGTCCATCTTTCAAACAAGACTGTGAAAATGTACTTTGTATCTTTAAGTCTTTATTATCTTTAATACACCTGTGAAAACCAGCTGAAAGTGCCAAGATAACTCTTACCTACAGAAATTTGATGGAGATGCACACAGTTTGCTGCTCTCTGCACATGTATTCAGCTCTCACTGGAGAGCTGGTTGGGAATTTTATACCTTATTCAGATGAGACCTCCTAATCAGATATTCTCACATGGGCCCAGTGAAACTAGGCATTTCTTCAGCCTGGAGACAGCGTACTTTAAAACCCTGTAAGCAAAATTATCTGTGCATCTCACGGAACAAATTAAGCTTACATATGTGAGCTGTTCTTTATTAAGAGATGACTAATTGGCTTCACAGATACATTTGGCTTTAATGAAAGCTAGTGGCAGAGCTAGAAACAGATTCTATCAACAGATTTCAGGATCCCTTAAAAGAATGCCACTGCAGCAGTAGTCTTGTTCCAGTCACATAAATGATAGCTTGTGATGTTTGTGGGATCCCAACTTGCAAAAGCCCTATAAATCCTCATACTCATACCTGGCAATAAGTTCAGAGCCTTCAGCAATGAATTCAAACTCTTCAGCAAACTGGTATTTTGTCTAGGGAAGACTGCATCCCCCAGATGAGGACATCTGGGGCCTAATAGCAGAGCCTCAGCATTTCACCAGCCTTGAGGAGGTACACTGTAGTGTTGATGATATAAACACCATAACAAGATTGATGTGCTCATTACAAACTTAGTGGTCATGGTTTTGTAAACAAGTTCTTCACCAAATACGGGAGCTGGGCTACATGACACACAGCACTTCACCTGGACAGCACTTCGCAGTGGAACCTCACAACCACCACAGACCCCCTTGCAAAAACCCCATATTAACACAGTGTACATGTAATACTAGATTTTAATTTGTATACCAGTTCTAGGAGCAGGTGGGCAGTCTGAAAAACCCTATGAATATTAGTGTACTAAAACATACGAAATCTGTGTGCGCTCAGATGGTAAGGAGCAATCCCTCAGGCACCAAGCACTGCAATAAACTAATATCTGCTTTCTGATCACAGAATCACAGGGTTGGAAGGGACCTCAAGGATGGTGAAGCTCCAACCCCCCGCCACATGCAGGGCCACCAACCTCCCCATTTCATAGCAGCCCAGGGCACCATCCAACGTGGCCTTGAACACCTCCAGGGATGGACGGGGCATCACAGCCCCTCTGGGCAGCTGTTCCAGTACCTGATCTGCCATTCATGCTGACAAGGTTCATTCCTAGATTTTGGTTGCAAAAGGGAACTTTGGCCTACAGTTGAACAGACTTGCTAAACAACAAGAGCAGGGCACCTGCAGAAATGCTTACACATTTAGAAGCCATCACACTTCTAACAGCGCTTATTTTGGATAGCACATCTAAAGGGCCACACTCACAACTGGCTGTGAGAAACTGCAGCCGTAGTTACGCCAAGCTCACCTGCATGGATAAGTGCCAGGTACTAGGAAACAGTGCTGGCGTGCTGACACCTGGAGATACACAAGTAAAAAGGCAGTTAGCACAATGCATATGGTTTTCATCTGCATAAGCTCCACGTTTATTAGTGGAGTTGTGTTCTTATAACAAGCTGTATGGAAGAAGGCTTTGAGGAGGCCTCACTGTGGCCTTCCAATACTTGAAGGGAGTGTAGAAACAGGAAGGGGAACAGCTGTTTGTGAGGGTGGACAGTGATAGGACAAGGGGGAATGGCTTTAAACTGAGACAGGGGAAGTTGAGGTTGGATGTTAGGAGGAAGTTTTTCCACACACAGGGTGGTGAGGCACTGGAACAGGTTGCCCAAGGAGGCTGTGGATGCCCCATCCCTGCAGGCATTCAAGGCCAGGCTGGATGTGGCTCTGGGCAGCCTGGGCTGCTGGTTGGCGACCTGCACACAGCAGGGGGTTGGAACTGGATGAGTACTACAGTCCTTTGCAACCCAGGAAAGCCATTGTATGCTCTCATGATATGCCCGTATGCTGCAGCATTCCACTGAAGACCAAGAGCGGCATCTCACACCATTTCAGTCTCAGTTAACCACGCAGGGAATCATGCCAGCCTGCAGCTTTCCTTGCCCTGGTCTCCCTGCGCTCTCCCGCTCCCTTCCAACACAGAATGGGCTCAGGCAGCGCGGGGCTCCAAAGCACGAAGCCTCGCGATTCTCCACAGCTCAGCCTGCAGCAGGAAGCCGGGCACACACCGGTCCATTGCACGCTCGGCCGCACAGCCTCGCTCCCACCACGACCTTTGGCCACAAGCCCGGCGAACAGAGCGCTGCGCGAACACGAAGGAAAAGCTGAAGCGGCAACCGCTACAACGGAGCGACCCAGAGCCGAGCAACCGCATCGGCTTCCGCTCCTCGATCCGGCCCACGACCCTCCTCCGGAGGCCCCGACCACGCCGCGCTGACGCCGGGGGCCGCGCCCGCCGCGCCGCGCCGCGCCGCCGCAGCCCGGCACGTACCAAGCCAGCGCCGCGCGGGGGGGAGCCGCGGCGAGGCGTCGAGAGGCGGCACGGACCACCGCCGCCAGGCGGAGGGGAGGCGGCTGCATCCTCCCTTCGCGCTGAGGCGGGCGAGGCGGGAGGCGCGCTACGACACACCCCTGTTTGCGCGGCGCTCTTGGTGCCGCCCGCCCGCAGCCCACGTGAGCGCTTTCCCGGCGCTCCCTGCGCTCGGCCCCCGCCGCAGCTTCCCCCCGCGCCAGCTCCGCGGCCCGGCCCCGCGCTCGCTCTCCGCCGCCGGCCGTTCGCCGCTTATCTCCGCTCGGCTCCGCCGCGGGCCCTCCATTCCTCTCCCTAACCGCCCGCTAATCCCCGTTCCCGGCCGGCGGCCGCCAGGGCGGGCGGGAAAGGGCTCCCGGAGGCGGACCCGGCGGCCAGGATGTCCGGAGGGGACTCGGCGGCGGCGGCGGCCACGGCCTCCCCGCAGCCGCTGCCGTTCTCCCTGCCGAAGCCCCCTCCCCTCATGCAGCTGACGCCGGGGGACGCCGTCCGTCCCGTCGCTTCGGCCGCCGACCAATCGCCGAAGGGCACCCGGCTGGCGGGGCGCCCCGATTGGCCGGCCGGCAAGCCGGTCAGCCTGCTGGCCCCGCTGCTCCCGCCCCGCGGGGAGCCCGAGCCGCTGATGCCCTTCGGCCCCTCGTCGCGGCAGCCACTCAGAGGGCGCCTTCTTGGCAGGTGCGGCGGGGGCAGCTTGCTCAGCCCCTCCATGCGGCCCGGCGCCGTGGACCGCAGCTCTCTTATGGTGAGTGCGGGGGGAGGGCAGGGCGCGGTTCCGCCCCGGGAGGCGGTGCGGCTCTGCAGGGCTCGGGGCGCTGCGGGGCGGGAAACCTTCGTGTGGTGCTGAGGGGGGGGGGAGGGGGAGCCTGCAGGTCTTGGGTGTCCGACTTTAATGGTTCTATGACACTTTCTGTTTGTTTGTTTTTCCTGTAAAGATCCGTTCTGGAACGGTCGTTTGTTTAGGGACGGTTTTCCTATTAGCAATTTTAGGGCATTTACATGCATACAGAAATACAGAGCTAAGCCTTGTAGTTTTCAGAGTAAAATCCCTTCCAGCATGTGTCCCATTACTACAGCTGGTGCCAGTGGCTAGAATGGAGTCGTAGAGCCATTCTGATTCAGAATGGTCATCGAGTCCAGCTCCTGGCTCTGTGCACAACTACCCAAACACAAGGCTTTTGCTGCATCTTGATATATATACATACATATATATCTCAAACATTTCCCCATCGCCATACCAAGTACTGGAACAGCATTAAGCCCCATGTTTGAAGGAAAATAAGGTAGTGATGATCATATTTGGTGTGACTTGATGTATTTTGGTCACAAGGAGCAGAAGAGATGTTGCTCGTCCCGCAGGGTGACTTGCATTGATCTAAGTTCAGTGTGTTTTTCTGTGACAAGCCATAAGATAAATGATTGTCAGAGTTTTGTTTCCTGTTTGCATGTTGATTTTGAAAATTTGAATGCCCTTGTTAGTTCTCAAACTCTGTCAGGGGGATGGATGTAGGAGACTGAATGCTATTTGCCGTTACTTTCCTTGCTGCCAGGCAGGATTGAGCTAAAAGCCAAAGTGAAGTACATAACTTCCAGCTCGGCGTGGAGCATCTCTTTGTTATCAGTGGTTTTTGAGGGACGGGGGGGTTGTTGGCTTCATGCTCACTTTTTGTTTGTTGCTGTCTTTCAGATGGGACACCCGGGGATGCCGCATTACCCGCCCATGGGAATGCACCCCATGGGGCAGAGGCCACCAAACATGCCCCCAGTTCCACATGGCATGATGCCTCAGATGATGCCCCCGATGGGAGGACCACCAATGGGGCAGGTGAGCCATTTTTATGATTATTTTTCTTTTTTCTTCCCATAATGATGTCAGGTCATCCAATGTAGGTAAGTTGCATACAGTAGCTTGCAAATGAGGTTAATAATTCAGGGTGTTCTGTGCCACTGTTCCTATCCATGCAGAAAATGCTGAACCTCTTCTTGTTGTAACAGGTAACTGATGCACTTTGTTTAGAACTTTGGTTGTAAATAGATGTAGGTATTTATCTTTTTTTATTATTTTTTAATAAAAAGCTCATTGCTAGATTATTTTTTTTTTAGATTTTGAAGAAGTAAAAACGTCATCTTAATACATACTGGAATCAGAAAGCTTTGGTTCTTCTCAGATGTTGAAATAAGAGAGCTCCTTGTTTCTCTAATTCCTGGCTGTTATGTGCATGCGGATGAAGGCTCTTAAGGAGATGCAGGGAAGAATTAATTAAGACTTGAGATTTGCAGAATTCCCTCTTGAATCCTAGAGAGTGAATTGTAGCTGTGTAATATACTGTTGTTGCTAACATATTATGCAGTTTGAAAAAGAAACTTGGCCGTTCAGATCAGCGCCAGTGAAAGTAAGCTGACAGGTAGAGTAGCCAGAATCAGAGCTGTGCCTTTTCACAGATCACAGAATCACCCGGGTTGGAAGGGACCTCAAGGATCATGTAGTTCCAACTCCCTTTTGCACATTTAAAACTTTATTCTCAGTGATGAAAAAGCCTTTGTGCTTTCTGATCAATTTTTGAACTTGTGAAGGAAGCAGTTCTCTTTCTGTTTGTTAGAAATGTTTCAGTAGTACTGCTTGTCATAGCAGCTTGCCTTAGGAGAAACCGAGGGTTATCAACTAGATGATAGAGAAGAGAGGGTGATGTGAGTGATTAATGCTCTGAGAAGAGCCCTCAGGGCCCTGCTGGCAACTCCTTGCTTGTTTTCCTTTGCAGTACCTTGGGTAGAGGCTGTGGATGGGGCTTTTTGTCTTGCTTGTGTGTAAAAGCATGAGAGGAACCTTCAGCATAATTCTGCAGCCTGTTAGAATGGCAAAAATAATGCAGTAGGAGATTAGGAGAACTTGACCACTGGTATGACAGTTAACAGTGAGAATTTTTCTTTGTATTTATTAAACAGCAATTTTGTTTTATTCCTCTGCTTAAGAGGTATGCTTGTCTTAACTTCTGTTCCACTGTGCTTACTCATTCTGTGAGTATTTCAGTCTGCAGTATTTTAGTGAGCAATAGTGATGGAGAGCTCAAGAATAGAGTAAAATGCTTTACTGTAGAGTAAAAGGCTGCAGGTAAATGGCTTGGCAGTGAGGGGCTCAGTTATCCTATGGCTTTGAGGATGGGACAGGACAGTGGCACACTCACACCAAAAGTATGAAAGCATCAGTTTATGTTGGCTTGTTTCCTTGGGTGATAACCTCTTTCTTCCAGCATCTGTCTGAGGTTTATTTGTAAAACTTTGCAGGATGGAACGTTCCTGAAGCTCGTTCTTCTCCTTTCTGAAGAGAACCACTGCAGGGCAAGTGACTGCACAGGCAGTAGCAACAGTGGTATGACCTGTCAGCATCGTGCAGAGGAAGGCCTTATTTTTTCCTTTCCTGTGTTGGGCTGGCATCACACAGAGCCTAAGCAGCATTCAGGGTTTCTGGAGGACCTGGGCTAGGGCTTTTAAGAAGCTGCAACAGTCTCACAGCCCTCTTAGATGGAAGCAGCAGTGGGGCAAGAGTGCTTTCTGCTCCAGCTTCTATAGGATGGCGAGGAACAGGAGGGGCTGCCTTCATGTCTTTCTTTCCTTCCTCATCCTCCCAAGAAAACCTTATGGAATGAGGGTGGAGCTGCAGCCCTACCCCATATCCGTCTCTCTGCACAAAGTGCAAGATGAAGAGAGTGGTACCCTGATACTCCCTGAAGATACAGGGGGATGGGGTCACTTGGCCAGCCTGCCAAGGACAGTGAAGGTAAAGGGACATAACTGAAAGGATGAAGAGGGTTGACTTCTAGAGGTCTATCTGGGGTCAGTGAGCAAAAAATCCAGTAGGAAGGGACCTGAATTAAATATTTTGTTCTTTTTGTCATTTTCTTTTAATGGCTTAGTAGTTCTTAGAAGCCACATCAGCAAAAAAGTTAATGGTAAGCATGCAAAATATTAAACTTCCAGTACAGCTTTTCAGTATATATCACTGCAGTGCATAGCTTCTGCATAACCATCCCTTAGAGACTGTAAGCAAAAGTATCTGAGCAAAGCCTAGCTTATCTGGGTAGCAGCTCTGTGGCTCTTCTTTTGCCTCATCAGACCTCCCAGCAAACTCAGATACAAGTCTAGGCTCAAAATTTGTTGTCTATGATACTATATGTGTCCCCATTGCCAAGTTCACGTTGTGTATGGCTTCATATTGAATGTCCACACCGAGGGGTTTTGATGTTTACATGGAGTAGATCTCTTCATACTGAAGTCATTTGGAGAAATGCATTCTTCCAGTGTCCCTGTCAAGTGTTTCTTCTTGTGGAGCTAAGAGGAAAGGGAGACAAATTGAAAGCAGCAAAAACTTGTGAGCAGAACTAATCAGAGTTT